AGTTGACTCAATGACAGACCTAGACGATACAGCGCGCACGTGCTAACCATTCGGCCATCCATCCCCCCGGATTATAAACAGGTCCATCAATTACAATCTGATTAAAACACAGATCCTATTTCGTTTCGTTTTTTATAATTCAAAATTTTGTTTTACTTGTCTTTACTACACCAGGATCTGGAAGAGTTGTTATATAACCCGCGTTGATGTGAAAGATTAAACAATGAATCGGTCTGTTACGGCGAGTTTTTAGCGGGAGGTGCGCGGAACTGTGGGTAACCCACTAGAAACTTCAACACTGATTGGTTAATCAAATGTCTGATGTCATAGGGTCAATAGTCACTCGTATGACCTCTGAAGAGGCCATCGAAACTATAAAAAAACGAAACGAAATAAATATCTGTAGATTGCATCATTTAGATGTTGGTATAGCGAAATGAAATGAAATGAAATGAAATGAAATGGGGTTTAACGTCCTACTGCGCTGGTCCGAACTGAGCTAATGAAGTCGGGCATATGCCATACAGTGTGCTATGAGTGAAATTTTGCCCGGACAGCGGCACTACGGTCTACTCTTACATCGTGCATCTTATATCTTTTACGTGCACGCCAATGTGTACACGGGACCTCGGTTTTTCGTTCCATCCGAACCACTAGACAGCTGTCCTTGCCAGGCCCTCCGTCCTGCATCACTGACAAGAGGGAACCACGCCGTAATATCTGGATGAACTTTCTCGGCCAATGCAGGGATCGAACAACCGACCTCCGGGCTAGTGAGCCAGCGTCTTACCCACTGTTGGTATAGTGGCGGTGGTATAGCAATTAAAAGTGAAAGAATGCTAATGTTATTAAAAATTCAAGTATTCATAACTTCACTCAGAATAAGGTGATTTGACTGAAATTTTCAATATGTTGCTTTTTCATTATCTATTTTTAAACAGCTGCGGATAGCGCTGCGGATAGCGGGGAGGGGGAGGTCCAAATTTAGGGAGTCATCCACAATCCTACCCCAAAATACATGTCAACACAGATGGTATTGCCTATATAGAAGATCGCCGGAAAGCAGTTTTATGCAAGTTGGCATAGCGAGCAACCTGAAGAGTGAATTGGGAAGGGGATGGGGGGGGGGGTCTAGGAAAATTTTGAAAGTTTGAGTCAGTGTTCTGGGAGTTGATAGTATATTTGTATAGTCTGTCGCCCCATGACCCTGGTACTACTTACTGGGCGGTTCACTATGACCATGAATATGATAGAGATGAGATAGTATTCGAACACAGCGGAGTGGAAGAACGATGGAGATCGCATAGGCGCGAAAAAATTTCAGATCCAGATATCGACGCACAAAATGTAATATTTTGAGGGGAGGGGGGGGGGCTAAGAGGCACTACTACCATCGTGACGTGAAGCCCCCCCCCCCCAACGCCTTTAAATCCGCGCCTATTATAGCGAAAACTTACAGCTCTTTAAGTAAATATTACATAATGCATCAAGGGGGGGGGGGGGGGGGCATTGATTCTAGTGGCGTGGTTTCGATTCCCCTCTTATACGTGACAAGGAGTAGGGTCGCCAGTCCAACCTCGTGGGTTTTCTCCTGGTCCCGCAGTTTCCTCCCACTGCTAAAGACCCCTACGTGCAAGCCAATTAATGAAAGAAAATTGAACCATGTGTTAATCCCGAAATCAACTAGTTTGTGTCGAGTGGACGTTAAACTCTCTCTCTCTCTCTCTCGCTCTCTCTCTCTCTCTGTCTCGCCTGTCCAACCTCGTGGGTTTTCTCCGGGTCCTACGCTTTCCTCCCACTGCTAAAGACCCCTACGCGCAAGCAAATTATTGAAAAAAAATTGAACCATTATGTTAATCCCGAAATGACCTAGTTTGTGTCGTAAAACCCCCCTCTCTCTCTCTCCCTCTCTCGCTCTCTCATAATGTGTTTTTAATGACCACCATGAGTGGCACAGACTCAAAGTATCCTACTGCTCAAGACTGCGGTTCTTTTGTTCGGCTCACGGCTTACGGATTGCCCCGAGTGGTAAAGCTCAATCACTGAATACATTAGGAACTAATGCGCGAGATTGTCGTCTAATTGATTCAACCCATAGTAAAATCACTATTTTGTAACACCGAGGGTTTGTTTGCAATTTCTATATATTTTTTTTTATATTCGTAAGTGATTTTCAGTACTATATTCACAGTCCCGCCTCTCCGAGGAATATATATTTTATTTTTTAATAGCCATAATGGACTATAATAGCCTTTAATAATATACCACATTAAATGCATCATTAGATTCCAGTCATATAGTGGTATGTTAGGTACATTCTCATTCAATAGTTAGTATTATTATGTACTTGGGAGTTGTTTTTTAAACAATAATGTGCCCTCTACTTAACACACACAGGGAGAGAGAGAGAGAGAGAGTCTATCTCTATCTGGCTGAAATAGATGCTCGGGTCGTTCTAGCTGTAATAAGGCACTCGCGTCGTTCGAGAGAGAGAGAGAGAGAGTCTATCTGACTGAAATAGATGCTCGGGTCGTTCTAAGTGTAATAAGGCGCTCGCGTCGTTTTGGGTTAGTGCTAAATGATAAGGCCAGCTCAATTTCTCGTCATAGGTCACGAGATGTAAATAGGGCTAGCGTTAACCCTAACCCTAACTGGGACCCACGCTGGCTCACTACCCCGAAGGTCGCGTGTTCGATACCTGCATTGGCCGAGAAATCTTCCGACGTGGTTTTCTCTTGTCAGTGGTGCAGGGCCTGGCAAGTACAGCTGCCTAGTCGTTCGAATGGGACGAAAAACCAAGGTCCCGTGTACTCATTTGCGTGCACGTAAAAGATCCCTTGGCAGTTGGAATTCGATATAAAAATAGGCCTGTCCAACCTCGTGGGTTTTCTCCGGATCCTCCGGATTCCTCCCACTGCTAAAGACCACTACGCGCAAGCGAATTATTGAAATAAAATTGAACCATGCGTTAGTCCCGAAATGACCTAGTTTGTGTCGAGTGGACGTTAAACCTCTCTCTCTCTCTCTTTCTCCATATCAAGTCTTGCCCAACATAGCAAACAATCTGATAAAAGTATAATATAAATAAAACATACTAAGCCTATGGTCACGTTACCATGACAAACTACTTCCTTGTATAACACAAATATGTTTCCTTATGAAGGTGAAGTGGTGTGCAATTTATTGTCTTTAAACCACTCCACAGTACATCCAACATTTTTAATACCCATTGAACGGGAGAATTTCGTATATTTCCGGAATCGGGAATTAAGGACAGGGGAGTAGTGATGTTGCTAGACTTTGTGGACGCTCAAGAGGCTAAAGTTAATATCCGATTGATTTTAAATTTATAGACAGTGTTTAAGGTCATGAGACGAAGAAGTCTTTTGATTTTTGATAATTACTGCCAGAGTTGTGGCCCTTGATTAATTGAGAAATCTTGTGGAAGCTCTAGAGGCTAAACTTAATATAAATTATACACAGTATTTAAAGATGGGTTCCCGCGTACAAACTGGGTGATTTAGTGGTATATATGGACTAAAAACATATTCAAACTAATTAATTTGTCATAATTATGCTTCAAATCCTTCTCAAACATTGTAATTGCGAAGGAATGCCCTGCTATTAAAATTCGATCAAACCAGGTCATGTTTACGTCACGTCTTGGAAATCAGAGGAGAATTCATTGCATACATAAGACGATGTTGTCTTTAATCGCTTACTATTTATTACAAATATCGAATCCTAATTAAATTCTCGGATTATCCACTACCCGCGTCTTTTTCCGTCATTTTTATCTCAGAAAGTGTTGTACGTCTAACTCTTCATAAAGTTTATCAACTTGTACATCAAGCGCTCAATGTTCGCGTGTGACCTTTGACATCACGCGTGCAGAAATTCTTTATCGTTGGGCTGTTGATTAGGGGAACCCTTACATTTTCGTCCTGTATACGCTCCATGAGTGGTTTTCGGGGAATCCAGTATTTTTCTATTAAGATTGGATATCTCTACTTTCCATATATACCAAAATTACCATACTTTTATTGGAAATAACCACCCGATAAATACTTTTCTGGGAACCCATCTTTAAGGTCACGAGAAAAACAATCGAAACAAATTCTCGTTGTTAGATTTTAGTATGTTGTAAGTGTATTCATTACTGACAAAAGAAATGCGACAACCCTTGTTTACTGCGCGGACGACTTAGCTGCTGCGGATGTATGTTTCGTTGCCTGGCAGCCTGTCTTTGGACCAGGAAATGATTGCATACTCTTCATCATTCTCGCTATCCCAAAGGAAGACAACTCTGCATGGGAGAATGACACTTCGCAACCCTCTTGTTCTTCGGGCGACGCTCACTGTATGGCGTATGCCCGTCTTCAATAGCACAATCAGAGCAGAAAAGTAGGACGTTAAACCCTATTTCATTTTATTTTCATTCCGCCCATCTTGTGACCGATCTTGCTAGTTATTTAGGATCTGTTTTATATAGAGCGAAGCTCTAAACTTGAGCAAAGCTCTTTCCCGGTAACACAGGAGCGTAATTGAAAATGTCACCCACAGACTGTTGATTAAAAAAAAATTCAGACAGGAACCGGATACACTGGGGAAAACAGGCAATGCGCATGTTAACTTACCAAATCTCGACCAAACGAGATCACGTAACTAACAAAAATAATTCTACACACCAAATCTCGTCCAAGCGAGATTACGCGCCTCATAGAACTATTTCTATGACGCGTCTAATCAATGACGTCACATATTTTTTTACGTCAATGAAAATAATTCTCACACTTTTTTGTACTTTTTTTTTTAAAAAAAAGTTAATGTATAAAATTTAGATCTAAATAAAAATCAATTTTGAAAAACTAAATTATTTAACATTGTTTTTATCACTCGAGAAAATTAATTATGAAGGTTTTATATTTGACAATAATTAGCTTCGCTCTACTCAGGCATTGCAGGCATTGCCTGTTACATATTATATGACCAATTTTCAGATTATGTGTTGAGATGGATGAATTGAAAGCACCCAAGAACAAAATGGCTGATTACACTAAACTCGACCCTGTCCTAGTAAGTATGAACACAATCTGATTAAAACACGAATCCTATTTCGTTTCGTTTTTTTATAGTTCAAAATTTAATCTTACGTGTTTTTACTACACTTGGATCTGGAATAGTTGTTATATAACCTGCGTTATGGCTGATGTGAGGGATTAGCCAATGAAACGGTCTGGTACGACGAGTTCTTGGCGTGTGGTGGACAGAACTGTGAGTATCCCACTAGAAACATCAACGCTGATTGGTTAATTAAATGTCCAACGTCTGACACACCCTTCCACTACAACCGGCCATCAAAAGTATAAAAGAAACGAAACGAAATATAGATGTGTATTTTATTTAGATTGATTCGAAACTATGCAAAACCACAGAAAAACATAGAGGTTGCTATGTGTAGGATAAAGCACGAGACTGAGGTTATGCTGGGGAAAGAAAGCCTGAAGAAAATAACCCGAGAAAAAGGAAAACCGAGGCCGGCAGATCTGAGTTTATCTGTGTTTCTATGTAGCCTGATCTGTGTTTCTATGTAAACTGACCTGGGTGTTTCGTTGTTTCTTTGTAGTCAGATTTGAGTTTTTCTGTGTTTCAATATTTTTGTATAGGCTGACCTGTGTTTCAATGTTTTTGTGTAGGCTGACCTGTGTTTCAATATTTTTGTATAGGCTGACCTGTGTTTCAATGTTTTTCTATAGGCTGACCTGTGTTTCAATGTTTTTCTATAGGCTGACCTGTGTTTCAATGTTTTTCTATAGGCTGACCTGTGTTTCAATGTTTTTCTATAGGCTGACCTGTTAGAGAAATGTAAAGAAGAAGAAGAGCACGAGGATAAACTGATATATGATTGTGAAGTAGAATTCAGGTAAATATATTAAACCATATTATATATTATAGCTATATCCATTCACCACCCGGCGTGGTCTCCCCTTGTCAGTGGTACAGCTATATTCATTCAAACATCCGGCGTGGTTTCCCTTGTCAGTGGTGTAGCGATAACCATTCACCATCCGGCGTGCTTTCCCCCTTGTTAGTGGTGCAGCTATATTCATTCGAGCATAAGTATGACAGAGAGGGAGAGAGACGGGGGGTGATGGCCCGGGGATTTTCCAGCCCGGATTCTCCATGTCAGTTTTGTGGTGTGCACGTAAAAGAACCCTTGGCAGTATATAGCAGTCGGGTGAAACCTCTAGATAACCCTACCTTGTCACGCTCAAGCTTGGGATCGAAACCAGTCCAAATGACCCAATACAGACTTTATAATCTAAAGCGCGTGCGTAAGGTCACTAGACCCTAACCCCTATAGAAATAAAGTACACCGTTTTGCCGCTATCAGGGCAAAATTACCCCACAACATACTGTCGGCCCTATAGCCTGGTTGGTGCAGAAAAGTAGGACGATAAACTTCCTTTCATTTCTGTGTTATACGAACTGTCCTGCTGTTTGTTTTTTTTCAGGAAAAATGTCGTGTTGAAAACCAAGATAAGTAAATTAAGGAACCGATAACGAGTTGTATGTCACACTGATCAGCCGCTACAATCACTAAAAGAATAAAAGGGATGACATCGTTATGAGCCCCCAATATTAACCCTTTTCTTTCTGTAAATTGAATTCTTGAACATTTTCTATACGAATTAGAAAAAAAAATAAAGGTTTTTGAAGTATATGTAGGTAAAAAATATGTTCTATTTAGTGTAAATGGGTATGTAAAATGGGTACAAGTCACCATTCTGTCCGGACCAGTAACGTCTTATGTAAACAATGCACGCGCCATTGAGCCAATGATTGGCGCCACGTGATGTGACGTCACGTTTTGAAAGCCGTTATTATTTACAGAGTTGTTAGAAGACTTTTGCAATCCTCTGTGAAACAGATTTGTTGTATTTAATTAAACGGGTTAAACAGCTGAATATTTTTCATCTTATTTCGACTTTTTCTTAAAGGGACAATAACACTCTTACTGGCTTGACAGCTCCCAAAAATAAAAAAAATAGCCTAGATGTGTTAGTGTCTTACCTGTTGTGTAAATTATCCATTAAATCCTATTTTACTTGTCATCTGTGAAACAGATTGGTTGTATTTAATTAAACGGGTTAAACAGCTGAATATTTTTCATCTTATTTCGACTTTTTCTTAAAGGGATAATAACACTCTTACTGGCTTGACAGCTCCCAAAAATAAAAAAAATAGCCTAGATGTGTTAGTGTCTTACCTGTTGTGTAAATTATCCAGTAAATCCTATTTTACTTGTCCAGAGGGTTCAAAAATCCAAGTCACATTTGAAAAGGTTTACGTCAGGCTTTTCAAATCATTTAGTTGAATTTTTCCATTTTTTTAAATTAGATGTGTTAAGATGAAATTTGTATCGTCAATTAATTGAAATATTGTAAAATTTTGCAATTTGTTGACCAGAATAAAGATTGGTACATATTATTCAGTTACAAGAGTGGTATTTGGCATTTAAACATGCATTATGCAAGAGCTAAATCTGCCTATTGCAGGTCTTTCTTTAGGCCTGAAATGTTTTCTAAAGTATTAATTAGACATTAATTAACTGATCCAAACCTTAATCAACTCTCGATGGCATCAGATTTCTCCGATATTAAATAGATTAGAATGGTTCAGCGATACTTTGATTTAATCAAATATGGAGGACCGAGACTTAGCTTCGATCAACCAGTACGATGGTTGAAATTATTACACACGTCTGCCAAACCTTCAAAGGCTAATATATTCGCTTGCAATAGAGTAAATTGAATGAAATTTTCAAATTATTCATTTGTAGTTATGAAGACAGGCATACGCCATACAGTGTGCTTTGAGGGAAATTTAGCCCGGACAGCGGCACTACGGCCTACTCTTATATCGAATTCCAAATGTCAAGGGATCTTTTACGTGCACGCCAATGCGTACACAGGACCTCGGTTTTTCGTCACATCCGAACGATTAGACAGCTGTCCTTGTCATGCCCTCCGTCCTGTACCACTGACAAGGGGGAACCACCCTGAAAATGTGGATGAACTTTCTCTGCCAATGCAGGGATCGCTTACTCAATTGGGACAGTATTGATTTTCCTATTCTACGCCACTTTCTTGTATGGCAATCGCTTCTTTAAATTTTTATTTATATTTACATTTCTAATCAATTCTGTTCGGTAAAATACTGAAGCATTCCAAATTGAATGGCAACAGTTAATTATAATATGTGTTTCTAATTTAATATACTGTCATCAGATAATCGTGTCACTAAACATATTAATTTTTGTAATCGTCTAAATCGTGATATTACGGACATGAAATGAAATGAAATGGGGTTTAACGTCCTACTGCTCTGCTCCTATACTGGGCTAATGAAGACGGGCATACGCCATACAGTGTGCTATGAGGGAAATTTTGCCCGGGCAGCGGCACTATCACCTACTCTTATATCGAATTCCAACTGCCAAGGGATTTTTTACGTGCATTCCAATGTATACACGGGACCTCGGTTTTTCGTCTCATCCGAAGGACTAGACAGCTGTCCTTGTCAGGCCCTCCGTTCTGCACCACTGACAAGTGGAAACCACGTCGGAAAATCCCGATGAACTTTCTCGGCCAATGCAGGGATCGAACACCCGACCTCCGGGCTAGCGAGCCAGCGTCTTAACCAACTAGCCACCGTGGCTCCTATACTCTTCATACTCTGATGGCCGAATGGTTAGCACGCGCGCGCTGTATCATAAGGCCTGTCATTGAGTCAACTGGCGTGGTTTGGAATCGCCGGTTGTACGTGACAAGGAGTAGGGACGCCTGTCCAACCTCGTGGGTTTTCTCCGGGTCCTCCGGTTTCCTCCCACTGCTAAAGACACCTACTCGCAAGCGAATTATTGAAATAAATTAAACCATATGTTAGTCCCGAAATGACCTAGTTTGTGTCGAGTGGACGTTAAACCCCATTTCTCTATCTCTCTCACTCTTCATAGGCGTACGGGTCCGGCGAATATTAGGTGTGAGGGGGGCGGGAGCGGCCAGACCTGAAATGCCCGAAAATTTTCCCATTTACAGACGGCCAGGCCGATCATCAGCGAGTTGACCGTGTAGGGGAATCCCAAGAAATTTTGACGGCTGCATAAACGCGCTTTCCTGCTATTCCAGCCCATGACTACGGCAACTTCAAAGTGGTCTAAAATATATATAGCCTAACTTAGATGGCTGACCCAAATTCCATTTAACTGTTCACTCGTTTACAGTTCACGGAGATGCGACGGTCGGGAGTTAAGCATCTTCAAGTGCCGATCTGAATACCGATTATCCAATCAGACTGTTGCAGCTGCATTCTAAAATAATAATCGATGTCCGATTGCACCCCAACCCCTCCCCCTACCACCTGGCTCGTACGCCTGTGATACTCTTTGTCTTTGTGAATTTAAATCCTTATATAATATATATATGACTAGTATTTGTATACGCCCACACGTTGGCGTACGTAGTCCATTCGGCACACAGAGGACTATCTACTCCGAGAGTAGATCTCTGTTATGTAAAATTTTTCTAGTCCGTTTCAGGGGCGGGGGGCACGGTGGGTAAGTGGATAATATGCTGGCTTGCTAGCCTGGAGGTCGGGTGTTCGATCCCTGCATTGGCCGAGAAAGTTCATCCAGATTTTCCGGAATGGTTCCCCCTTGTCAGTAATGCAGGACGGAGGGCCTGACAAGGACAGCTGTCTAGTGGTTCGGATGGGACGAAAAACGGTGGTCCCGTGTACACATTGGTGTGCACGTAAAAGATCCCTTGACAGTTGGAGGTAGTGCCGTTGTCCAAGCAAAATCCCCTCATACCACACTGATTGGCGTATGCCCGTCTTCATTAGCCCAGTTCGGAGCAAAACAGTAGGACGTTAAACCCCATTTAATTTTATTTCATTTCTAGTCCATTTCACATGTCATACACAAAGACAAAATAACCCGTTCCAATTTGATTAAATGACAGCGGATTAAATACTTCTGAAAATTCACGAAGTATAATCATTTTGTATTATCTATTTTTGAACTATTAAAGCACAAACTGTCAGCTCTTTATCTAAATCTTGCGCAATATATCTTTAATAAAGGTATTTTTTAGAATTGCGAGATATCAATTGCGACATTGGTTAATTACAATTGCTACTGAATAATGAATATCTAACGAGACACGCTCCATCGCCACTAACAAATATGTGTAAGAACTTAACCTGATCATGCATAATAAATTGTTCCATGAGGGAACTTTTGCCTACTGTGTGCCTACTGTTCTGCTCCGACCAATAAGATTAAAACACAGATCCTATTTCGTTTCGTTTTTAATAGTTCAACATTTCGTTTTACTTGTCTTTCCTACACTAGGATCTGGAAGAGTTGTTATATAACCCGCATTCTGGGTGATGTGAGGGCTTAGCCAATCAAACGGTCTGTTACGGCGAAATTTTGGCGTGAGGTGCACGGATCTGTGGGTAACCCACTAGAAACATCAACGCTGATTGGTAATCAAATGCCTGACGTCATAAGGACAAAAGCCGCTCGTATGACCTCTGACGCGACCTTCCACTACAACCGATCAGACCTTCATGTAGTAGCGGCCATCGAAAGTATAAAAAAGAACGAAATGAAATAATAGATCTGTATTTTTTAATCAGACTGTGCTCGGACTGGGCCTATGAAGACGGGCATAGGCTATACTGTGTGCTATGATGGAACCTTTGCAAAGACAGCGGCGCTACGGAATCAAATCTTATATCAAATTCCAACTGCCTAGAGTTGTCCTTGCCAGACCCTCCATCCTGCACCACCAGCAAGGGGAGACCACCCCGACGGACTTTCCCGGCCAACACCGGGACAAACACGGAACCTCGAGCACCGTGGATGAAATGAAATGGGGTTTAACTTCCTACTGTTCTGCTCCTAACCTGGGCTAATGAAGACGGGCATACGCCATACAGTGTGCTATGAGGGAAATTTTGCCCGGGCAGCGGCGCTACGGCCTACTCTTATATCGAATTGCAACTGCCAAGGATATTTTACGTGCCCGCCAATGTGTACACGAGACCTGGGTTTTTCGTCCCATCCGAACGACTAGACAGCTGTCCTTGCCAGGCCCTCCATCCTGCATCACTGACAAGGGGAAACCACGCCGGAAAATCTGAATGAACTTTCTCGGCCAACGCAGGGATCGAACACCCGACCTTCAGCCTAGAGAGCCAGCGTCTTACCCACTTAGCCACGTGATCCCCCCACCGTGGATAAAATAATGACATATTTTAATGATTCAATTAACTCATGCGTGATCAACTGGGATATTAAAAATAATCGTTTGATAATGTCTCACTTGATGTAACCGCCATTGTGTAACTTAGATCATCTTGAAAGTACGAACAATTAGGTAGAATATTCTTTCACACGATTTGTATTTTACGTCACAGCAGTTAAAAATATGTTTAGACACAAGTTGTTATTAAAATCAACGGTAGTTAAAAACATATTTATAGACAAGTTGTTACAATTAACCATATATAGCCAGGCTCAAACAAGTTTTATGAAGAAGAGGTCAACACTCAACAGCCCTTGCTTTGAGAAAACATTTGTCCCAGTCAAAGGTCTTGAGTCCCTGCTTTAAGAAAACACGTATCCCAGTCAAAGGTCTCGGAGTCCCTGCTTTAAAGATACAGTATGTAAGATTTAGATAAAGAGCTGACCATTTTTGCTAAAATAACTCAAAAAAAGATAATGTAAAATGAAAATATTGAAAATTTCATTCAAATTACTTCATTCTGAGCCAAGTTATCACTGTTTGTAGTTTTGATAAGATGTGTGCATTGCGGTAACCAGGACATTGGTATATTCGAGACTTAGCCTCGCTTTCCCTTTTTTAAATTAAATTTTTAAATGGCGAACCGTTCTAATCTAGTTAAATTCTCGAGTATCCGAGTTTATTATGAGGTTTTTTGGTTAATAAATGTCTAATTAATAATTTAGATAACGTTTCAGGCCTAAAGAAAGACGTGCAATAGGCAGATTTACCTCTTGCATAATGTGTTTGAAAAAAACGTGTATCTCAGTCAAGAGAGGGAGAGACAGAAATGGGGTTTAACTTCCACTCGACACAATTTTGTTCATTTCGGGACTAACATATGATTCAGTTTTATTTCAATAATTTGCTTGCGCGTAGGGGTCTTTAGCAGAGGGAGGAACCGGAGAAAACCCACGAGGTTGGACAGGCGAGCCTACCCCTTGTCACATACAACCGGGGAATCGAAATCACGCCAGTTGACTCAATGACAGACCGTATGATGCAACGCGCACGTGCTAACCATCCTTTACATCAGAACACATCAAGAAGATACAAAAGATACAAAACACCTCCGCTCTGATTGTATCTCGTGCTCCACAAACATCTCATGTATCACTAATATTAAACTCTTTACACTGGCTGTGAATACAGGAACGGCTTGATTTCAAGATGCTATCACTGACATTATCAATGTTAGGTTGCCCCATGTAGTGAAAATTGTCCCTACTGAAAGTTGAACTCGACACGTCGAATGTTCACGCTTAGTGGCTTGTCTCGAAGTGATTTCTGGTTAGTCACGCGGTACGATAACACTTAGCGCAAGAGTCTATGAATCTATAAAGACCCATCGCACGTGAAATTCTCTACACATCTTTCAACTATTACAGCCGTAAAAAAATCAGTTGTTGACGATTCTGAATCGTTTTTTTTTTTAAGGACTTCGAATTTTGTTTAATGGTTTGGATTGTTCGTACTTGGTTTTATTTTATTTAGCTTTTTGATTATTTTGGTTATTACAGCGGCTTTAGAAATTACGTTCGTTTTATTTTATAAATTGCTTTATCATTAACTATACCGTTAGTTAATGAGCGGCATCTTTGGTTTAGTACAAATAATACCCCTTAAACACTTGGGTTAGGCAAGAACATGATACTAGTTCTTGCTCCATCAAAATGGAACGATCTTCCGGTGTTCATCAAAAGTGCCCCTTCGGTTGAGTGTTTTAAATTCAGACTAAGAACATACCTATTTAAACGTTATATACTCTTCAAAAAAAAGAAACGCATAGTGACATTTCATCGTCGGTATACCCTCGCTCTACTATCGCCTCGTTGCAACAGGAACCGTGACTGGTTGGTTGCTGAACCAAACTGTTCTCCAGCGTTGCTGTGGCCATACCAATTAAAAGAGTATATTTAATTTAAAATTGTGTGTATAAACGCGCATACAATCTGAATAAAATACATATCTATATATTTCGTTTCGTTTCTTTATACTTCCGATGGCCTCTTCAGCATGAAGATTTTACCGGTTGTAGTGGGCGGTCATACGAGCGACTTTTGACCCTATGACGTCAAACATTTGATTAGGCAATCAGCGTTGATGTTTCTAGTGGGTTGCCCACAGTTCCGTGGACTTCACGCCAAAAACTCGCCGTAACAGACCGTTTCATAACGCGGGTTATATAACAACCCTTCCAGAGCTAAGTGTAGTAAAGACAAGTAAAACGAAATTTTGAACTATAAAAAACGAAATTGCACATTAAATGCCCACCCCATCCCACCATCTGATGATAAAGGATAAAGCACACGACCGTGACACTTTTCTCATATTATTGTACTCACAGGCTTTTTACAGTTTGCATAGCAGAACACTTATAGGCTACCCAGTGATTACGTTTCTAGTGTAAGGAAAGATTTGTAATATAAGAATCTTCAATGAAAAAAATGGAATTAAACAGTTAGAAGGTTTAATGGATCCATGTAATTTAAAGCGTCGACACATGTATCCAAAATTTTCACAGTCTACAACAGAATACAATACAGAACAGCTGTATTCATCCGCAAAAAAAATAGTACCTAAAATTCATGTACATTATATAGCTTTAAACGTCAAATGAGGTCAAATGAATAGAGACGTCTTTAATATATACTAAATATTCGTATCATCCCAAATCGACAATAAAACAGTGAGAAAAAGGAAAATCTAAGTAATGGCAATCTAATTAACATAAATTTACGACATAATGGATTCTTCAATGTTTTGATGGTGATCATGAAGAAAATAGGCCTACATCTGTTCTCAGGAATCCGATAAGATTTTCAAATAAAAGATCAGTAGAATTATAGATTGTTATTCCACAAAGTCGAAAGGTATGTTAGATTTTTCATTCAATCAAGTTAGAGCGAGTTTATTGCCGTACTTTGAGCTCCAAACCCGATAGAAATGAAGGCGGAAGTGGCCATAATAGTTTTAGAGATCACTACGTGATGGCGCTCCTGCGTCGCGACAAACGGAGCCGATTTGTCTAGTAGGCCTGTGAAAGAAAACTTTAATGTTCCAATTCACTCAGTCACACTTTATCACAATTAATTTTGTCATAATTATATACAGAGAAAGAAGCAATCTGATTAAAACACAGATCCTATTTCGTTTCGTTTTTTATGGTTCAAAATTTCGTTTTACTTGTCTTTACCACACCAGGATCGGGAAGAGTTGTTATGTTACCGGCGTTCTGTTTGAAAAGTGGGGGACTAGCCAATGAAACGGTCTCTTAAGACGAGTTCTTGGCCTGTGATGCACGGAACTGTGGGTAAACCACTAGAAACGTCAACGCTCATTGATTAATCAATGTCTGACGTCATAACGTCAAAGGCCCCTCGTACGACCCCTGATGCGACCTTCCAGTACAACCGGTCAGATCTTCGTGTAGTGTAGGCCATCGAAAGTGTAAAAAAACGAAACAAAATATAGATCTGTATTTTAATCAGAATTAATTTTGTCATAATTTTGTATTACTTAAACATACATTGGCTAGATCTAAATCTGCCTATTGTAGGTCTTTTTGTAGGCCTGGAATGTTATCTAAATTATTATTTAGACATTAATTAACTTTTCCAGACCACAATCAATTCTCGATGGCATCGCTAGCCTGTGATGTTTATTGGATTTGGTTCCGATATGCTGTTCGACTTCCATTCATAATTTAATCATGAAATGGATAATCGAGACTATGTTTTTTATCCTACCGACTTTAGTAATGATGATCGAGGCTAGGTCGAAAATTCAATCGCTAAAATCTCAGTTCATAGTGGATCAATTTGACTGAAATTTTCAGCAATTTGCCTTCACATTATCTAGTTTTTAACCATTATAGTGAGGTCTACCATCTCTTTATCTAATCTCCCATAATGTATCTTTAAATATATATATATATATATATATATATATATATATATATGCGAAAGTTAAATGAACATCTGTACCTATTCTGTCTTCCATGAAAGCTGCCAGTGAAGCGCGTAAAGATTCACGGCACACGCAGCTCTCACGCCCTGAAAAGTATGTTTTAAAATCGCTGTGTTCCCTGCATTTCACAATGGGACATCGACGAGTCACTACAGCAAAACGATGGCACGTCATTGGAATGGGGAATGTTGGGATGTCCATGAGACAGATTGCACAACAGTTGGGTCACCTTCCATCAACCATTAGTTAGTTATTGCAAAATCATAAACAGGATATTCGCCGTCAACGTTCTGGTACACAGAGCGCACGTAAAAGATCCCTTGGCAGTTGGAAGTCGATATAAGAGTAGGCCGTAGCGCCGCTGCCCGGGCAAAATTTCCCTCATAGCACACTGCATGGCGTATGCCCGTCTTCATTAGCCCAGTTTAGGAGCAGAACAGTAGGACGTTAAACCCCATTTCACTTCATTTAATTTCCCTTTGTGCCAGACACTACCCTAAAGAACTGTTCTTAATTTGCTCAAATCGGCGGATATGGCGCTAACAGGCCTACAGAACTTTTTTAATCTGATCAAATCGGCGGATATGGCGCTAACAGACCTAGCATGGTCTAGCGTAGTCCCGACCACGTCATGGCGAAATTTCAATTGTCGGATGAGCGTCGCTTTCTCTTGTTCATTACGGATGGTAGAGCACGGGTATGACGAAGTGGGAACACGGAATATGCCCAGAGGAACATCATAGGGCAGGTTTCATTCAGCGGCGGCTCTTTCATGATATGGGTGGGCCTTTTAAATCACCCGATTAGATTTTATTACATACTTCGAGAAGGTATTTGTTGAGTAATAAAACCTTCTAGTAGTTTATCGAAGCAACAAATTCCAGAACAAGCCAGAACTCATACCAAAATGGCCGCTTTATACAAATGAGTATTTAGGGGAATAACCCTTTTAAGAGAAGTAAAAACTAAATTAGACCCAAGTTCAGTCTTTTAAAAAGGGTTAGGGTTAGGGTTAGTTATCCCCAAAATTCTCATTTATATAAAGCGGCCATTTTGGACTCCGGAAACACCCGAACCTCGATAAACTACTAGAAGGTTTTATTTGTACCGTGCGGTAAGGACGGCCAGCCCTCGATAAACTACTAGAAGGTTTTATTACTCAACAAATACCTTCTCGAAGTATGTAATAAAATCTAATCGGGTGTTTAAATATGACTGTAAACTTCCAGGGGTAATCTCAATCGTCAACGGTACCACAGAGGGATACTGGACAGACCAATCTTATGGACGACAAAGCTAGACCACACATAGAAATGGTTCCACTACTGATGTCTTCCGCCTTACTCCAGCCACAGTAGTGACTCGTCCCTTTGCGCAAGTTTTTTTAGTGAAATCACTACAAAAAGGTTACTGGCCTATAGCTCCCTTAATTTACACACAAACTGACCCAAAACAGTAGTACACCAAGCTTAACATATAATAAATCAATATAATTATATGCTTTGATGAAACCCAACTGCTACGCGAAATTTCAACTGCCGGCTGGTGTCATGGCGGATTGTGTAATAAGTCATTACAAGAAACATCCCTATGCAAATGTAGAACGCATAACCACGAAGAAAAACTGTTCCGTAACTATTTTAGTGGTCCAGTCTTCACTATTTGTCATAGAATTACTTATTCCAATACAAACTGTAATGATATGTGTTGACAATTGTGCGTTTGAACCTATTTGAACTTGCGTAAGGAGTCTTAGACTGTATCAATTGTAACGTTAAACACACAGTTTAGCGTTACAAGTATAGTAACTGGACCACACAGTGAACGTGGTGTGTTCATTCTCGGTTTCTGGAGGCCGTTGCTACACTATCTTTGCCAGTCCGTTACAGGGATCCACCGGTACAGAATCTTGATGATTTGAAGCAGGCACTACATCAGGAATGGAACAGACTAACGCATGCCCAAACTCAACGTCTCATTCATTCAACCAGGAGATCAACAGCTGATCCAGGCTTGCAGCATATTCCATAAAAGGCCTTATCAAGGCATCTTACATCTTATCAAGCCATTCACGTAAAACTCCGCATATTTTGTCATTAATAGCGACTGCCTACTGACCCAGCTGGGTCAAGGTTTCCGTGGAGGTCGCCATGTTTGATTTGGGTGTGTTTGTGTCACGACCTCTGATTGGACAACGCTTGTTCACGTGTCTGCGGTAAAGGTTTGGGGCGGGGAGGGGGATGTCCTATAACTTCGGAAATGTCAGCCCAATCTAGCAATGGCTAGATGTTGTTAAATCCGCGGTCGTTGCTTCAGGAACGTGGGCTAACGGAGGCTACACCAGATATTGACATTTTCTCTAGTTTGGCAGCTCTATGAAATAAAATGAGCTGAAACTGTAGGTTTTACTTTTGACCGATGATGATGATGATGATGATGATGATTTGACTACCTGGTGCTAACGTCTGCTTCCACAGAAGTGATATCGCAGACAAGAAATATTCAGCTTGAGACAATTATTTAGTTTACCGACCGTCAAGCGGATGTCAAGCGTCATGGTTTTTAGACAGCCCCTCCAAAGATACTAGAAGCTGTTTTCCAGAAGTATATGTTATAATTTATTATTTTATATCACATAACAAAATTAAAGGCACACCATTAAAAACTAAAAAGGCAAAGATAAACTTTCAGTCGTCTTACCTAAAAGTGTATTCGTCCAAACATTATCAAAATTGACTAATCCTAACGTAAGTTATATTTTACACATTAGAGACTTTTGGCAAGCGTAATTTCCTGGTCCGTATCGCGTATCCGTATGGATTTTGCGTGTGAATTTCTCATACGTGATACGGCACACGGATACGGCAGCACGTATGGAACGGCTTTCATACGGAAATGGTCCGTATAACACTGTCGTCTTTTTACCGTCGTTTTTGCTACTTTTAGACGCTGAAATGTTGCATCATAGCGTTTTTATGAATCTTTGTGTATCCTAGAACACGAAGGTGTATATTTGATGTGATTTTAACAGTGATAACGACTGCAATTTAATCATTATTTTTGATGGGTTGTTCTCGGAATTTTCATATTTTTCCCGCCTGTCTGCATACTGGTTGATCTACGGGCTAAACTTTCTGAAATGATACATTAGTGAAACCAAAAATTTCTAAAATCTGCCAAAACTCTAAAACTACATTGACGCAACGTATCACGCATACGATACGGATACGGCATACGGATGGGAAAAATCCGCTTGCCAAAAGTCTCTAATGTGTTGTGTAATTCTCGACAAACATAGTTTACACCTTGTGGGTTGTAATGTGCAAAAAAACATATTTTACACACCGTATTGTGTAATTCTTAACAAATATATTTTACACACCGTGCTGTGTAATTCTTAACAAATATATTTTACACACCGTATTGTGCAATTCTTAACAAATATATTTTACACACCGTGTTGTGTAATTCTTAACAAATATATTTTACACACCGTGTTGTGTAATTCTTAACAAATATATTTTACACACCGTGTTGTGTAATTCTTAACAAATATATTTTACACACCGTGTTGTGTAATTCTTAACAAATATATTTTACACACCGTGCTGTGTAATTCTTAACAAATATATTTTACACACCGTGTTGTGTAATTTTCACAATACATAGTTTTCAAACTGGGCTTTGTAATGTTCAAAAACATAGTTTACACAATCGTGTTTTGTAATGTTCAACATAGTTTACACATTGGACTTTGTAATGTTCAAAAAACATAGTTTACAGAATCGTGTTTTGTAATGCTCGACATAGTTTACACATTGTCTTGTGTAATGTTCAACATGGTTTACCCACTGTCTTGTGTAATGTTCAACAAACATAGTTTACACATTGTGTTGTGTAATTCTTCACAAACATACACATCGTGTTGTGTAATGTTCAACAAACATAGCTTACATATTGTTTTGTGTAATGTTCGACATAGTTTACACATCGTGTTGTGTAATGTTCAACAAAAACATAGTTTACACATCTCGTTGTGTAATGTTCAACAAAAACATAGTTTACACATCTTGTTGTGTAATGTTCAACATGGTTTACACATTGTGTTGTTTAATGTTCGATAAACATATTTTACTCACCGTGTTTTTGTTCGATAAACATATTTTACACACCGTGTTTTGTAATGTTATAAAATAAATTACACATTGTGTTGTGTAATGTTCAACAAACATAGTTAACACATCGTTACACATCGTTAATGGATTTTTGATAAAATCGATCAATCCTAACGTAACGTATGTCCATATGAAGATCACACTACTTTCACTTGATTTCACGCCGCCATTTTTATTGCTATTCAAGGCCTGAAGGATAATTCATTCTAATCCATGAACATCAAGCCCAGGATAGTATCGAACCTAGGTTTTCTGTTCTAATTGTCGTAATCAACTCTAAAACGAGTTAGTATATCTGCCCCTCCCCACATCGCCTAACAATTTGAAATAAAATGAAATGGGGTTTAACGCCCGTTGTTCTGCTTCGACTGAGCTAATTAAGACAGGATTTATAACCACTGAAACTCCATAATAAGTACTAGGGATTTGATCTTCTCGTATTTAAATGGTCCAGAGTGACTTGGGATGGCCAAGTGGTCTAGAGTATCGCGCTTCGAGCTCTAGCCGGTCGGTCACCTCTAGCTTGCCGATGTGAGCGTATACTACTTGGAGATCCGGGTGGCGTCTCAACTGTGTGGGTATGCGCACTGGCGGGCACGTAAATAAACCCTTGCCAGTTGGAATTCGAAATAAGAGTAGGTCGTAGGGCCGCTGTCCGTGCAATAATTTCCCTCATAGTACTCTGTACAGCGGATGTCCGTCTTCATTAGTCCAGTTGGTACAGAGCAGTAGGACGTTAAACCCCATTTAATTTCATTTCATAGTTCATATCTCTATTTCTTTTCACACTTCTGTGGCTACTTAACTGAGAACCTTTGGCGTTTGTTATTTATACAGTATATTGAAAGTAAACTTGACTGAGAAACAGAATATTGCTCAATACCCAAACGGTAAAAAACATGCCAAAAAGTGCTGAATCCAAACGATTAGATCGCTGATCATCAAAGGAACAATTAATATCTTCTACCTTGGACATTTTAAAACGAACTATGTCCGAGATGTATCTGATTTTAGAATGGCCCGGGCCATTATTTCGGGCTATAGCTTCTCGGTACTTCTTGGCCGATCTGTACTGTAACAAGATGGCGACCAGAACGGTGAGACCACTCATCCCCAGCAACACCGAAATATAGATGGTTATAGAAACAGGCTTGTCTGAAGTTTGAGGAAGCAGACCACTTGTTATACTCAAAAACACCGTCAAGGATAATAAGACTGAAGTTGCAAATGATATCTTTTCACCAGAGTCATCTGGCAACCAGAACGTCATGACATTAAGGAACGATAGCACCATGATTGGGAGAATAATGGTCTGAACATAGAATGTCGGTCGACGTTTCATTTTGAAAGTGGCAATCAACGACTGGTAGTCTGCATTGTAGATGTAACTCAGATCCGTGGCTTTCAGCTGCCACCCGCCATTATCACTGAAATCACGCAGAACTATTTTTCCTTCCAGCCACATCTCCGAACTAAGGTAGATGGAACGTATAATAACGCTGCAATTTTGCTCATCAAAGGGGAAAAAACTCACATCGACTCTACATGCTGTTTCGACAACTGCTGAGGGAAGCCAAGTAACGCGGCCAGTGTACAAAATATCCACTTTCGATTGGTCATCTCCAAATATTTCTCGTTTTTTTAAGGAATTTAAAATCTCCAAAGATGGCTTCCAGATCTTGGAGGATGGGGTGTGAATGAGTGTAAAGTTCCCGTGATCCTCGGGATTCCATATCAGTTGTTCATCCATCCAGGACAAATTGAACCACGAATTGAAAGAGAAACTGTGTTTCAACTCGTCTAAGGCTAGAAAATTCGTAGGGTGAAACTGCAGACTGACGGAGACATTTTTGCTCTGGTTCCATTTTGGTCTGTATTCGACACTGTAGTTTCGAAATATGTCGTCGTAAAGGTTTTTCGCGTCTGCTAAAGTAGCGCTGTATCCCCTGGATGCCATGAGTATCATCGTCAATATGCAGAGGTGAGTAAAGTTGAAAAATCTCATCTTCGACATCACTGTAGAAAAATTTCTTGGCTTCGTCCAAATCCGATTATTGTTATGTCGATCCTCTCTCAGAATAGTTTATATATGATTTCAGCGGTTGTGTAATAATTAATCAATACTTGATAGTCACACTGTCGCTTATCGGGAATAATCTAACCAAACATTCTTCACTCTCTCAACGGAACAAAATGTCTACTTCTCATGCAAGAGGGAACTCAGTAGTCCTATAGAATGATACCTCGTCGTGTTTTAATTGTCCATGGACCAAAGATGAACAGTGGAGAGGAAATGTATCGATTTGTTTTTCACACGGTTTTAAATTAATCACTAAATCACGGGATATCCATAATATAGGATATTAATTTCCTTTCTTTTTTGTTTGATGTTATTTTTTTATATCTATATACGCTCACATTTTCATGTGGACGTATATTGGCGTCGCACTTGTCCGTCCACAAGTTTGATGAAATTTAAAAATATATGTTTATATCCCAGAAATTTCGATTCCTTTTGATATTCGCGCATATCGGACTATAACTTCCTGGATTATGTCCCTTGATTTACGAAAAATCGCTTCTTTTTTTTTGTTGGTTTTCTATCCATTTCTGTCAAAATGGCGACCCAAACTAAATCAACCGCCATAATTGTTTACATCCGATTAATTTGCATATAACGGACTGGAATTAACTTTTCTGTGAAGAGTTCCACATTTAACGTGCTTGGCACGGTTCTGAGACCGGTTATTTTAGAGTAATGTAAACGGGTCAATTTCTTGAAATTCATCGCGGCCTAATACCATGCCGAGAACGGCACGCTTATCGCCACCAAGGGTAAACGGGGCTATAGTGTTTAACGGGTTAGCACAGTGGCTCCATTAATAATAATAATAATAATAATAATAAGTCTCAATTTGTATAGCGCAAGTTTGAACAAAGTCATTCACTACTGACAAGAATAAGCCTGGTTGAAAAGATGAGTTTTAAGCTGAGATTTAAAGCTTTCTACAAAATTCCATAGAAAAGGGGCCGAGTATGCGAACGAACGGCGGCCTATCTCAAGATTGACAGCTGGGACCGTCAATAGATTTTTATTCGTTGATCGTAAGTTTCTAATGGGATCATGCGTAATGAGAAGGTCTTTTATGTATTCAGGAGAGAGAGAGAGGGGGGGGGGTTTAACGTCCACTCGACACAAACTAGGTCACCTCGGGACTAACATATGGTTTAATTTTATTTCAATAATTCGCTTGCGCGTAGGGGTCTTTAGCAGAGGGAGGAAACCGGAGGACCCGGAGAAAACCCACGTGGTTGGACAGGCGACCCTACTCCTTGTCACGTACAACCGGGGATTCGAAACCACGCCAGTTGACTCAATGACAGGCTTTCTGGGCTCCATTAATGTACTGACCAATTAATGTAAGTGGTCAGTTCAAGTCCAGTTAGATTTCGAAAAAGCGTAGGTGTAAGTCCAGATGTATTTCGACAAAGATTAGGTGTAAATTTCTCTCTTAACACACAGCATGGTGCATGTCAGTCTTCATTATCCCGGTCGGGGAAGGTAAGTAGGTCGTTAAACCCCATTTCATTTCCCTGGGTGGATTTGTATTGTTTAACCCATCAAAGACGTGTATTTAATACAATATATTATTTGTATTTGGTAAATGCGAAAACATATCTATATAAAATACACAAAATATGCCAATAAATATTAAATATGCAAGTAACGTGTGTGTATTAGTTGTTTAAAATAAAACAGTGTGTATGGGGAGGGGGGTGTCACGTACCCCTGTCAGTTGTTTAAAAAACCAATGAAACACAAGATTTGATTGGACGATCTTAAGTCACACTCTATCTACGTCACAAATCGGATGATAGCTTCAGGCTATAGACAAGTTTTATTTCTAAGTGCCATAACTCTAAGAATAACTATAAGAAATCGTTGAAAATTGATAGGCTTTGCCTAGGAGTTTTGGATATTGAACTGGCAATGCAAATGGAGTTTCTGAAATGGCAATTAAATTAAATTCATGGACATCAACATCTTGTTTTAGGGCTAGTTACCTCCCTTAGACTTTGTTCATGATAATGTAAAAAAAAAAAACGGATAATCTAGCCAATGACCTATTATTCTCAAATGTTGACAACGCGTCCAGACTAATATTCGTAGAATATTTTTCTGGGTAATAGAGACAAGAATAAATATTTTCTTAAATTAATTTCATAGGCGTCGACATCTTGTTTTATGACGAGTTGCCTCCCTTAGACTTTATTCAGGATAATGTTAAAGACCGGATAATCTAGCTAATGACCTAGTTATTCTCAAATGATGACAATCCAACCAGACTAATATTCGCAAAATATTTGTCTGAATGATAGAGACTATGTTGGAATCGATAGGCTTGTTCATGAATTTACATAAATCCAAGATGGCCACTCCATGTTTATTTTCTGTCAATATATTTATGCAGGTGTTGCATTTAGGGAATGTGTTTTCAAATGTAGGTATAAATGAATACATCTTCGGGTGAATGCTGAAGACCTTTCTCTTCACAAAATTCAAAATGGTCACCATTTTCCAAGATGGTGGCCATTATTCTACCAGTATGGATATCTGACAAAGAACTAATAGTCCAATCAATAGATAGTTTGAGATGAAAGATACTTTCCTACAAAAGTATTTATCGGATGGTTATTTCCAAAACAAGTATGGCAATTTTGGTATATATTGAAAGTAGAAACATCCAATCTTATTAGGAAAATACTGGCCCCGAGTTCACAAAGCATTCTCAGACTTAAGTTAAAAATTTACTCAACTTTCTATCGCTGTTTATGAGAAATATCTTTGATCCAGAAACACAAAACTTTGCAAATAGTTTCTTATTGATGTATTTGATACATTAAAACAACAAAAGTTTTATAAAGGGCAATATTTTAGTAAAAATAAGGCAAACATTTTTTGAGTAAATTCTTAACTTTAGTCTGAGAATGCTTTGTGAACTCGGGACCTGGATTGATTCGCTGAAAAACACCCATTAAGCACATACAGGACAAACATGTAAGGGTTTCTCTAACCGGCAAGCTGGCGATTAAGGATGTCTGCTCAAGTGACGGCAAAGTTCGCACGCGAAGATTGTTTGATCTCCCAGCGTTTGTGAGCGCTTGGTGTATATTATGTTGATAAACTTGATGGTGAGCTGAAACAGTTTCTGAGATAAAAAAAAAACACGGACAAAGACGTGAGCAGCGGATAATCCGGGAATTAAATTAGGCTTTAATATTTATGATAAATGGACAGTGATTAAAGACGACATCGTTTTGTATATGCAATGAATTCTCCACCGACTTCGCACCCTTTGTTAGGCAGCGCGTCAGCCAAGTCACGTGACACAAACATGACCTCTTTTTAATACATTTTTTTTATAGCAGGGGCATTCCCTGGATTGGAAGCAAAATTTTGATAGATTAATTAGTTTTAATGTTTTTGGTCCAAATATATCATCAAATCACCAAGTTCGTATGCGGGAATGTATCCTTAAAGGGACTATCCCGATTTCAAAAGAGTCTCAAAAATAAAAGTCTGAGTACGTATGAAATTTAAGCGCCAAAATATAGAGGAATGGTGTATTTACCTTCTCTCAAAATTCCAGCTCAAAATATTTAGTCGTTTGGACGTGAATGTCAAAACTGCTTATCCGGACACGTAACCCTTTTAAGATTTCGGGTCAGTTTTTTCGTTGGGAGACCTGATAATCGATTCCCGTTCCTTGAGGGGTCTATATAGTGAATGACCCATATGCTGTACTTGATAACGAAAGGTAAATTTAACCTACACATTATTATTATAAAATAAAAGTCTAGTTTTATGCAGACACCGCATAATACAGCTTATGACACCGGTCTCCATTTCCAGATGAAGACTGACGAGTTTAAGTTGTTCGAAAACGTATCACAAATATTGAGTTAGTTGCTCGGCCCTTAGCTAGAGGAATTTAAGGGATTTTAACACAAAATTAAGCAGTTCTATTCTCCAAAAAATATCGGGATTAGCCCTTTAAATAAAATTGCAGTAAGATTAACTATGCGTTTATCAAAACACAACACATCCCTAAATAACATATCAAAAGTTCGGAAACAAACGTCAACATGGCGGACAACCTCGGCTCACAGAGAGAGGGAGGTTTACCGTTCATTTCTCTCTCTAGGGAATCACGCCGGTCATTTTGAATGTCACGTGATGTATCCTTTTGCTTCGCAAAAAATTCAAGGTGGCTGCTCAACCTCGCGTTTCTTCAGAAATTTCGCGAATTTTACGCTCATATCGCCGAATCACTCACATTGCGCGCAAAACGTAGTTCTCGGTAATTCATCAAATCGGCTGTTTTCGAATGAACTTTTGTTGTCAAGATGCGGAAAATATTCCAAGGATTATTAATATGCCTAATCAAACAAATCCAGCAAATCAGGGGCCACTGAGGGAGGAACTTAGGAACCGAATTTTAGAAGTCCACCAACGTGGACTGTACATCAACTGTACAGTGATTCCCAAAACGTTCATATACAAAGTGCAATATATGAATTTAACCCTATGTCCAACCGCGCGGGCTTTCTCTGGGTTCTCCGGTTTCCTCCCACTTCTAAAGACCCCTAACCATATGTTAGTCCCGAAATGACCTAGTTTATGCTTAGTTGACGTTAAACTTCTCACAGGAGACGAGGAACCCTATTAATAGTCAACGATTTCCGATAATTACTTTTTCTGCAGCATCAACTTGCCTCCATTAAATATGCGATACGATCAAATTAAAATCTTTGAAACAGGATTAGCAATAATCGATATTATTTACTTTTAATATATAATTGAAAGGTTTCCATTATATAACATGATGCTTTTATGCTTTAGTTTTTATAGCTTTCAACCCTTCCTATTGTAAACGCGTGCCAATCTATTATTACAATAGCTGGGTTCGGTGGCCGAATGGCTAGCGTGTGCGCTGTATCATAAGGTCTGTCATTGAGTCAACTGGCGTGGTTTCGTTTCCCCGGTTGTACGTGACAAGGAGTAGGGTCGCCTGTCCAACCTCGTGGGTTTTCTCCGGGTCCTCCGGTTTCCTCCTGCTAAAGACACCTACGCGCAAGAGAATTATTGAAATAAAATTGAACCATATGCTAGTCCCGAAATGACCTAGTTTGTGTCGAGTGGACCCATCTCTCTCTCTCAGTCAAGTGGTGTGGTTTCAATCAAAGGCGTGTTCATGATAAGGAGTAGGGTCGACTTTCTAATCACGTGGGATTTTCCCGGGTTCTCCGGTTTCCTCCAGTATGCGCAAGCTAATTATTGTGAAATATAATTGTACCATATTATGCTGGTCCCTAAATGACCTAGTTTGTAAATAACAAACACAACCAGCGGCTGCCAAGCAGGATACGCCCACATTTCCGAGAGATGGATAGAGAACAAGCCAAAAAGAAAGTGATTTTTCCTACAATCAAGGGCCATAATTCAGGAAATTACAATTCGATATGCGCAAATATCGAAAGGAACCGAGATCTTTGTGTTATAAACTTACATTTCAAGTTTCAACAAAATCGGATAGCCAGCGGCTGCCAGGCAGGATACGCCCACATTTTCGAGAGATGGATAGAAAACAAGCTAAAACGAAAGTGATTTTTCCTACAATCAAGGGCCATAATTCAGGAAGTTACGGTCCGATATGCGCGAATATCGAAAGGAACCAAGATCTTTGGGTTATAAACTTACATTTCAAGTTTCAACAAAATCGGATAAAAATTGTGACCTCTACAGGGTCCACATTTTTACGCTATTTGAGAAAGAACGGCGGTCATTTTGTCTGTCAATTTTGGGCCGATTTTCACGAAATTCGAACTCAGCCATCCTTAGGGTGTAACGGTGATATAATAATACGGTTTTTTAAATCGGATAAAAATTATGACCTCTATAGGGTCCACAAGCTAAAAACGCGATTTTTCGTACAATCAGGGGCCATAATTCAGGAAGTTACGGTCCGATATGCGCGAATATCGAAGGAACCGAGATGTTTGGATTTTCAACTTACATTTCAAGTTTCAACAAAATCGGATAAAAATTGTGACCTCCATAGTGTCCACAAGCTAAAAACGTGATTTTTGGTACAAACAGGGGCCATAATCCATGAAGTTTACATCCGATACATGCCAATATCAAAAGGAAGCGAGATCTTTTGGAGATAAACCTATATTTCAAGTTTCGTCAAAATCGGATAAGAATTGTGACCTATAGAGTGTCCACAAACAAATTGTGGACGGACGGACAGGGGCGACGACAATATACGTCCACATGAAAATGTGGGCGTATAAAAACCATATTTAATACTTACGAGGGCTGGCTGAAAAGTTCCAAAGGGGGGTCACGTGGATAATATTAAAACGTCATCCCAATTATTTAATTCCAACCCGTTTCTCACCTTGGTAATTCTATATCTACCTACTGAAAGAGAATCGGTTTCAGACGAGTTATTTGCCCCTAAGTTAGAAATTGGAATCAGACCAGTTATTTGATAATGCCGCTTACGAACGTGGACGTAACTTTTAGACATTATACTTAGTCATAGCTGCTTAATGTTTTGATATATAGTCCACGTTACAGGCGCCTGTGCTTTGTACATGTCTTTCACAGATAGGCTTAGAACTTTTCAACGAGACCTCGTATTGGCATATTTTGCATTATTTTATATAGACCACCCCCCCCCCCCCACCCAACACACACACACCTCTCCCTCCCGAGTATTTTCGAATTTACCAAATACTAATAATATATTGTATTAAATACACGGCTTTGATGGGTTAAACAATACAAATCCACCCAGGGAAATGAAAAAGGGTTTAACGACCTACTTACCTTCCCCGACCGGGATAATGAAGACTGGCATGCACCATGCTGTGTGTTAAGAGAGAAATTTACACCTAATCTTTGTCGAAATACATCTGGACTTGAACTGACCACTTACATTACAAACTGGTCTGTACATTAATCGAGTCACTGCGCTAACTCCTTAAACATTATGGCTCAGACTGGAGCGACGTCCTTACTGCGCTGCTGCGACCGTACGGCGACCAGAAAATGCACATGGTCGCCGGCAAACGTGAACGCAACGCGAGAAAATGTCCCAAAAAGTTACAAAAAAAAAGTAGCCTTCTCACAGCTTTCCAGGTCAGATCGCAGAATCTTGGCGTTTGTTTTGAACATGCTCAAAACAAACGCCGTGCGTCGGCGATCATTGGCGCCCACGGAGACCACAGCACGATATCTGGCGTTTCCATCACGCTTTTACCACGCTAATGACGATCTTGACGCGCTCTGAAACCATTTTCGTCGGCGTAGCAGCGCAGTAAGGACGCCACCCTGGTCTGACGGGGGTATTAGAGCTGGACTTTTAACTGACCAGTTAAATCATAAATCTGCTAGTACAATACACTGCTTAGCCGTCAACATAAAACTGCAGATAAAATGAAATATTTTAATTAATGTTCATAGCATACCCGGGCGTGGGCTACAGAAATGTAAAAAAAAAGAAATAACATCAAACATAAAAGAAAGGAAATTAATATCCTATATTATAGATATCTCGTGATTAAGAGATTAATTTAAAACCGTGTGAAACACAAATCGATACATTTCCTCTCCACAATTCATCTTTGGTCTATGGACAATTAAAACACGACGAGGTATCAGTCCATAGGACTACTGAGTTCCCACTTGAATGAGAAGTAGGCATGCTGTTCCGTTGAGAGAGTGAAGAATGTTTGGTTAGATTATTCCAGATAAGCGACAGTATGACTATCAGCTATTGATCGAGTAATATTAATTACACAACCGCTGATATTTATAGGTTTTTTGCTTTGTTTAAGAGCAGGAAGTGGAAAGCGAAGTTATATATGTACTATTGTGCGTATACTATTGTGCGAGAGGGTCGACATAACAATAATCGGATTGGGATGAAACCAAGAATGTTTTCTACAGTGATGTCGAAGATGAGATTTTTCAACTTTACTCATCTCGGTATATTGACGATGATACTCATGGCATCCAGGGGATACAGCGCTACTTTAGCAGACGCGAAAAACCTTTACGACGACATATTTAGAAACTACAGCGCAGATTACAGGCCAAGCCGGAACCAGAGTAAAAATGTCGTCATCACTCTACAGTTTCACCCTACGAATTTTCTAGCCTTAGACGAGTTGAAACACAGTTTCTCTTTCAATTCGTGGTTCAATTTGTCCTGGATGGATGAACAACTCGTATGGAATCCCGGGGATCACGGGAACTTTAGACTCTTTCACACCTCAGCCTCCAAGATCTGGAAGCCATCTTTGGAGATTCTGAATTCCTTAACAAAACGAGAAATATTTGGAGATGACAAATCGAAAGTGGATATTTTGAGCGATGGCCGCGTTACTTGGCTTCCCTCAGCAGTTGTCGAAACAGCATGTAGAGTCGATGTGAGTTTTTTTCCCTTTGATGAGCAAAATTGCAGCGTTATTATACGTTCCATCTACCTTAGTTCGGAGATGTGGCTGGAAGGAAAAATAGTTCTGCGTGATTTCAGTGATAATGGCGGGTGGCAGCTGAAAGCCACAGATCTGAGTTACATCTACAATGCAGATTACCAGTCGTTGATTGCCACTTTCAAAATGAAACGTCGACCGACATTCTATGTTCAGACCATTATTCTCCCAATCATGGTACTATCGTTCCTGAATGTCATGACGTTCTGGTTGCCGGATGACTCCGGTGAAAAGATATCATTTGCTACTTCAGTCTTATTATCCTTGACGGTGTTTTTGAGTATAACAAGTGGTCTGCTTCCTCAAACTTCAGACAAACCCGTTTTTATAACCATCTATATTTCTGTGTTGCTGGGGATGAGTGGTCTCACCGTTCTGGTCGCCATCTTGTTACAGTACAGATCGGCCAAGAAGTATCGAGAAGCTATAGCCCGAAATAATGGCATGGGCCATACTAAAACCAGATACATCTCGGACATAGTTCGTTTTAAAATGTCCAAGGTAGAAGATATTAATTGTTCCTTTGATGATCAGCGATCTAATCGTTTGGATTCAGCACTATTTGGCATGTTTTTTACCGTCTGGTTATTGAGCAATATTCTGTTTCTCAGTCAAGTTTACTTTCAATATACTGTATAAATAACAAACGTCACAAGTTCTCAGTAAAGTAGCCACAGGGGTGTGAAAATAGAGATATGAACTATGAAATGAAATAAAATGGGGTTTAACGTCCTACTGCTCTGCGCCAACTGGGCTCATGAAGACGGACATAAGCCGTACAGAGTGCTATTAGGGAGATTTTTGCACGGACAGCGGCGCTGGGACCTACCCTTATTTCGAATTCCAACTGACACTGCCGATTATTGCGTATACCCACACGGTTGAGACGGCACCCCTATCTCCAATTAGGATATGCTCACATCGAGGATCGTAACTCCGGCAAGTTAGAGGTGCCCGGCCAGCTAGAGCTCGAAGCGCAACACTCTAGACCACTAGGCCCATCCCAACTCACTCTGGGCCATTTAAATACTGGAAAATTGAATCCCTGGTCCTTATTTTTCAGTAACAATGGTCAAGAATTTCTGTCTTCATTAACACAGTCGGGACAGAACAACGGGACGTTAAACCGTTTTTCATTTTATTTCAAATTGTGACGCGATGTGGGGAGGGAGGGGCAGATGTACGAACTCGTTTTAGATGTTGATTACGACAGTCAAAACAGACAAGCTGGGTTCGATACTATCCTGGGCTTGATGTTCATGGATTAAAATAAATTATCCTTCAGACGTTGAATAACAATAAAGATGGCGGCGTGAAATCAAGTGAAAGTAATGTGATCTTCATATGGACATAAGTTACGTTAGGATTGATCGATCGATTTAATCAAAAATCCATTAATGATGTGTAACGATGTGTAAACCATGGTTGTGGAACATTACACAACACGACGTGTAAAATATGTTGAACATTACACAACACAATGTGTAAACTATGTTTGTCGAACATTACAAAACACGGTGTGTAAACTATGATTTTTTACATTACACAACACAATGTGTAAAATATGTTGAACATTACACAACACAATGTGTAAACTATGTTTGTTGAACATTACACAACCCAATGTGTAAACTATGTTTTTTGAACATTACACAACACGACATGTAAACTATGTTGAACATTACACAACACGATGTGTATGTTTGTTGAACATTACACAACACAATGTGTAAATTATGTTTTTGTCGAACATTACACAACACAATGTGTAAATTATTGTTTTGTCGAACATTACACAGCACGGTGTGTAAACTATGTTTGTCTAACATTACAAAACACAATGTTTAAAATTTGTGTGGTGAACATTACACAACACAATGTGTAAAATATAAATTACGTTAGGATTAGTCAATTTTGATAATGTTTGGACGAATACACTTTTAGGTAAGACGACTGGAAGTTTATCTTTGCCTTTTAGTTTCCAATGGTGTGCCTTTAATTTTGTTATGTGATATAAAACATATATATAACATATAACATATTATAACATATACTTCTGAAAAACAGCTTCTAGTATCTTTGAAGGGGCTGTCAAAAAAACATGATGCTTGACACCTGCTTGACGGTCGGTAAACTAAAAAAATTGTGAAAAGCGGTTGTCAAGCGTCAAGCGGATGTCCAATCTAATTAAAATATAGATCTATATTTCGTTTCGTTTTTTATACTTTCTATGGCCTACTTACAAGTAGATTTAACAAGTTATAGTGGGAGTTCACGTTCTATGACGCCAGGTAGCAAGCAAGCGACATTTGACCCGATTACGTCAGTCATTCGCTTAACCAATTAGCAACCGCCATGTATTTTTTTATCTACTTTTGCTTTGTTTTGATTTCTATTGCCGCTAATGTCTACCCACAGTTCCCCGCAAGAAAGGTCAAACGCGCGATTCGACAGACCATTTGATTGGCTGACCCCTCATTTCAAGCAGAACACGAGTTAAATAACAACGCTTCCAGAACCAAGTGTAGTAAAGACAAGTAAAATCGAAATTTTGAACTATAAAAACGAAACGAAATTGGATCTGTGTTTTAATCAGATTGGCGGATGTCAAACGTCAAGCTATTTAGACTGGGGGATATTTCGAGGAATATCACCCGCCCTTTCTTCTCACGACAGCGATTTTATACAAGGACTTTTTTATTTTCTGTTTTTACCAATTTTCAACCCTTTAAGTATAAATAATTTAATTAAAATCAACTTGTCCATAATGTCATGTTTATTGCATTGGACGTTAAATCTGTAAAAAAAAAAACAACATCGAAGAATATTCTCTCAAAGTTTACTCACTAATACGTCACGCCTTTTAAATCAGGGGCGTTGGATGGCTGAATGGATAGAACGTGCGCGCTGTATCACAAAGTCTGTCATTGAGTCAACTGGCGTGGTTTCGATTTCCTTGTTGTACGTGTTGTCAAACCTCGTGGGTTTTCTCCGGGTCCTCCGGTTTCCACTGTTAAAGACCCCTACGCGCGAGCGAATTATGAAAATAAAATTGAACCAAATGTTAGTCCCGAAATGACCTAGTTTGTGTCGAGTGGACGTTAAACCTCATTTCTCTCTCTCTCTCTCCCTGTCTCTCTCTCTCTCTCTCTCCATTTAAATCATAAGTATGGTGTAGTTTATAAAATGAAAATGATATGGGGTTTAGCGTCCTACTGTTCTGATCAGACTGGGCAAATGAAGACGGGCATACACCATACAATAGGACGTTAAACCCCATTTCATTTCATTTTATTTCGCATATATTTATTTAGGTAATAGATTTCTCTTGAGATCATAAACATTCCGTGTTTCGATACTTTTTTCTCAATCTTATTAAAATACAGATCAATATTTCATTTTTTTTTTTATATTTTCAATGGCCAACACTACACGAAGATCTGACCGGTTGTACTGGAAGGTCGCGTCAGGGGTCGTACGAGGGACCTTTGACGCTATGACGTCAGATATTGATTAATTAATGAGCGTTGACGTTTCTAGTGGTTTACCCACAGTTCCGTGCATCGCAGGCCAAGAACTCGCCTTAACAGACCGTTTCATTGGCTAGTCCCTCACTTTTCAACCAGAACGCCGGTAATATAACAACTCTTCCCGATCCTGGTGTAGTAAAGACAAGTTAAACGAAATTTTGAACTATAAAAAAAAACGAAACGAAATAGGATCTGTGTTTTATTCAGATTGCTTCTTTCTCTGTATATAATTATGACAAAATTAATTGTGATAAAGTGTGACTGTGTGAATTGGGGACATTAAAGTTTTCTTTCACAGGCCTACTAGGGAGCCTATAAGTGTTCTGCTATGCAAACTGTAAAAAGCCCGTGTGTACAATGAATATGATGTATTTAAAGAGTTTTGATGTATATGTACATTGAATAAATGAAATTAAATGAAATGAAATGGGGTTTAACGTCCTACTGTTCTGCTCCTATACTGGGCTAATGAAGACGGGCATACGCCATACAATGTGCTATGAGGGAAATTTTGCCCGGGCAGCGGCACCATCGCCTACTCATATATCGAATTCCAACTGCCAAGGGATCTTTTACGTGCATTCCAATGTATCTTATCTTACCGAACAGTTTTTCTGTATTTTCGAGTGACACGAAACCACGCGATTCTGGTTCGGCGGCTATTTTGAAATGAACAGAAATTTCGCATGGCAATTGGGTTTAATCATATCATATATTTATACGGTAAGGTTTCACCTTTATTTCAATGGGAATTGGTTTATTATATGTTAAGCCACGTACAGTAAAGTTTGGGGTCAGTGTAATTGGAAATTAAGGGAGTTATATGCCAGTAACTTTTTTGTAGTCAAATGGCTATAAAACTTGCTCAAAGCAAGGCCTTAGGACGACCCACTACTGTGGCTGGGGCAAGACGGAAGACATCAGTAGTGGAACCATTTCTAACAGACTCCTAATTTGTCACTATTTCTGAACACGGTTCAATAATTAAAGATATACTCAATCCATGCACCCTTTCTCAGAATCGGTAACATTTTGTTTTGGCCCACCCTGGTATATAGAGTGCTCATGCAGACAATGTACACACCAAAAGACACGCAGAATAATCTTAATGGATTGGCCCTTTCCAGCTAGATAGGTGTTGTTTGCATGGCATTTTAACGGATTTTATCTGTGAACATATAGTCCGATTGGGTTTGTTACATAATTCCTATCCGTCGGCTTCTCGGGTAGAAATCGTGGAATAAGCTTTATTTTGAAGGTTTTGATGTTTAATGATGTTTTTTTTTACCTTATTTATAATGTTATTGGCATATCAACTGTGTTTTGGCAATGTGAAATGAAATGAAATGGGATTTAACGTCCTACTGTTCCGCTCCTACTGGGCTAATGAAGACGGGCATACGGCATACAGTGTGCTATGAGGGAAATTTTGCCCGGGCAGCGCTACTATGGCATACTCTTATATCGAATTCCACCTGCCAAGGGATCGTGTACGTGCGCGTCAATGTATACACGGGACCTCGGTTTTCCGTTCCATCCGAACGACTAGACATTACTGTCCTTGCCATACCCTCCGTGCACCACTGACCAGGGGAAACCACGCCAGAAATCTGGATGGACTTTCTCGGCCAATGCAGGGATCGAATACCCGTCGAACTCCATCAAGGCATTGACCTAATAAACACCTACGCCAAGTTATCGTGTCCCAAAGCATCACCCAATCAAATGTTCATCTTCGAACTCCATCAAGGCATTGGCCTAATAAACACCTACACCAAGTTTGAACATTGTAGCTCAATTTGAAAGAGAGTTATTGTCAGTGGTCTGCCCTCTGTTTGCCCCCCCCCCCCCCGCCAATAATTTTAGAAAATAAAAAAAAGTATTTGTGATACGTTTCGGTAATCAATACCTTCTACGGTGAATAAATCCCACATCCCCACTCAGTCATAAACTTGCATGTTGTAGAGCATTTCCAACAGTCTATTTTTCAAAATTTTCTAGGCGAGGTCCCCAATGGACTCCCTCTTTGGCGCTCACAAGGGGAATTCGTTGAGGTTCGCAAGTCCGTTCGTTTGACATTTTATTCTCTACTCGGATAAACTAGAGATCAGGCGACGGACGGTATCTGGTCAGATCTATTTTTCTCGACGATCGGTGCCTGACAGAATACTGTAAGACAGCATTTCCGGCAGTCTATTTTTCAAAATTTTCTGGGGGAGTACTCCCTACTTTGACGCTCTTGAGTGGGCTTCGTCGTGATACTCAAGTCCGTTCGTTTGACACTTTACCTCATCGATCAGTGCCTGAAATACTGCCAGGCTGCATTTCCGGCAACCTGTTTTTCAAAATTTTCTGGGGGAGGCCCGCTACCCCTAGTTAAAGCTCGTGCCTTTGCCCCCTTAACCTTGGACTTTGCCCCAGCTTTGCCCCTCCAATCACCGACGGCTGGCGCCGTCACTGGTTATTGTGTCCCAAAAATTGTGACGGACAGACAGACGGACGAACCCATTTTAATAGTCCCCTGCTTTATATACTTTATATACACTGATGTTACAATAATATGTCTATTTTAAAGCGGAAATTGCAAATTTTTAAGTTATATTTTTAAAATGTATTAAAATAAAGCCTGAAAATAGATGGTATCCATAAACAGTCCTACCTTGTTAAAGAATAATCCTATTAATCCTATAATTCACTATTGCCAGCTGAGAAATTGTCAAAAATATCATTTTCCTCTTCATTTTCAAACGTTTGACTATCGCTACTCCATGATGGAGAATAGAAAACAAGGGAGGTAATTGTGTTATTATTTCCTGTGTAAATGAATCTTAAGTGTGAGAATGACACCTATGATTGTATAATTGTGAGTTGACAACCTATTGAGCAAAAGACATAGAAATAATTACGTTTTGACTTTCTTAGAAAATTTGCAATTTCCGCTTTAAGGTTCCATAGAATAGAGCCATAATACGCCCGTTAAAGGACTATTAGTGGTGCCAGTCATTATCACATATGTGATAGAACTGGTCAAACACGTTCCAAATATTTTTTTATCACAGAGATCATTGCTACGATAGATGCGTAATCAATGCTTCAACAATCGGAAGTGACGAAAAAAAAGGAAAACATGAGTTATCCCTCTATATAACTGACTGAAGTGGCGGGTGGTAACAGATACATGGGTGAATTTCTGCTCACTAATAATTCCTTCGAAAACCAAAAGTTGTTGTGTGAGGCTGTGAAAGGATATCTGACAATTCATAAAAAAAATTGACTGTCACTAGATAAGAGAACATGAAAGAAAAATAGAAAAAGTCCGTGCATTACCATATTACCATGGTTTTTTATAAGTATAGAATGAATAAACACACGTGAATGTACGGACTGTTTCTATTTTTCTCGTGTTCTCTTATCTAATGACATGCAATTACTTTTTTGAATTGTCAGATATACTCTTACAGTCTCATATAACAACTTTTGGTCTTCGAGGCAATTATTAGTGAGCAGAAATTCGCCCATGTGTCTGTTATCACTCGTCACTTCAGTCAGTTATATAGAGGGATAACTCGTGTTTTCCTTTTGCGCTCGTCACTTACGCATCTATTCTAGCAATGATCTATGTGTTAAAATTATATTTGGAACGTGTTTAACCAGTTCTATCACATATGTGATAATGGCTGGCACCAATATTGTCCTTTAATGAATTGACCCATTGCAGCACGGTAGGGGGTTGTTTGCACAGCAGTTTGATGATATATAATGCTAATGGACACGGTATTCCATCATGTAATCTTTATAGAATATCATTACTGATTTTCCTTGACCCTGATAACATAGGGTTAGAGATTTGCATGGTCTTAGCAGAATTGTTTTGTTTTTTTTACAAAGATGAGACTAAAACCCCGAGTTCGGCGATATATTAGTAAAAAAACCACACAGACTGATTTACATATTACCCATGATGCAAATATTTTCCTTTTGCAACTTGTGGTGGACCGAGCTGCTCAACTAGCTCATTTTAGGCCTTGACCCTAAAGAAATGAATTGAAATGGGGTTAAACGTCCTACTGTTCTGCTCCGAACTGGGCTAATGAAGACGGGCATACGCCATACGGTGTGCTAAGGGAAAAATTTTGCCCAAACAGGGGCACTACAACCTACTCTTATATCGAATTCCAACTGTCAAGGCATCTTTTACGTGCACGCCAATGTGTAAACGGGACCTCGGTTGTTTGTCCCATCGACGACTAGACAGCTGTCCTTGTCAGGCCCTCCGTTCTGCACCACTGACAAGGGGAAACCACGCCGGAAAATCTGGATGAACTTTCTTAACCAGTGCAGGGATAGAAATAAAGTTAAAGATACATTATGTAAGATTAAGATAAAGAGCTAGTCATTCTTGCTATAATAGTTCGAAAATAGATAATGCAAAATGAATAATATGAAAATTGCATTCAAATTATTCTATTGCGAGTGAAGATATTCGCCTTTGAAGGTTTAACAAGACATGTGCAATAATTTCAACCACCGTACTGGTTGCTCGAAGCTAAGTCTCGCTCCTCCATTTTTAAATTAAATCAAAATATGGCTGAACCGTTGTAATCTATTTAATATCGAAAAAATCCGATGCCATCGAGAGTTGATTAATAATTTAGATAACATTTCAGGCCTAAAGAAAGACGTGCAATAGGCAAATTTAGCTCTTTCATAATGTATGTTTAATATATCTTTCTACTTACAGTTTCCTGTGTAGTATTGTGTAGTATGTTTATCCCAAGGCTTAAGAAGAAACATAGATTAATAGCTGCGGCCTTTGGTTTTATTTGTTGTTTTATTTTGATTTGAAGACTTTATTACATGTATGCCATCGACGTTTTCCAACACTCTCTTGACGACACTCGAACCCACAGCTATAAATACCTCATCAATGAATCGGAGATTTGTAAACCTATTGAAGGAAAAGTATTTCTATTAATATCAGTTCCTTCAAAAACGTCTGGGTTTGAAGAAAGAAGGGTATAAAGAAAGACCTGGGGGTCTTTAGCTGTGAATAATACAGAAATATCTAAATCTTACATAAAGTATCTTTAAGATCAGATATTGGTTGGGATGTGAAAGCATCACTGATTAGATATTGGTTGGGATGTGAAAGCATCACTGATTAGATATTGGTTGGGATGTGAAAGTATCACTGATTAGATATCGGTTGGGATGTGAAAGCATCACTGATTAGTCATTGGTTGGATTGTTACTATACCACTGATTAGATATTGGTTGGGATGTGAAAGCATCACTGATTAGATATTGGTTGGAATATGAAAGCCTCACTGATTAGATACTGGTTGGGATATGAAAGCCTCACTGATTAGATGGGGGGGGGGGTTGGATGGCTGAATGGTTAGCGTGAGCGCGCTGTATCATAAAGTCTATCATTGAGTCGACTGGCGTGGTTTCGAATCCCCGGTTGTACGTGGCAAGGAGTAGGGTCGCCTGTCCAACCTCATGGGTTTTCTCCGGGTCCTCCGGTTTCCTCCCACTGCTAAAGACCCCTACGCGCAAGCGAATTATGTAAATAAAATTAAACCATATGTTAGTCCCGAAATGACCTAGTTTGTGTCGAGTGGACGTTAAACCCCATTTCTCTCTCTCTCTCTCTCTCTCTCTCTCACTGATTAGATATTGGCTGGGGTGTGAAAGTATCACTGATTAGACATTGGTTGAAATTTTAAAGCCTCACTGATTAGATATTATTTTGATATTGGCACCATCCACAAACAAAGAACGAGTCGTTTGTATCAACATAATGGATGGTCCCGATCTGGGCCCGGTTCCTAGAAAATTCTTAAAAATAAGCACAAAGTCATGCTTCACTTTTGCTTACGTGAGAAACTTTATAAAATACCGTCTCTAGAAAATTCTCAAGACCGTTCTTACGTAAGCACAAGTCAAGTATGACTCTAAGCACATTGTGACTGGACTACGATGCTCTCTAACGTCATAAAAACAATTTTGGTATGCGAATTACGTCATAAATTGGTCGGCTGCATAGAGTTATAAATAGATCAATGACATAACTTCCCGGCAAATAGTCGATTTAGATGTATTTGACATGTCCCCCATACACATATAAAATGTGCCACAAGCTAAAAAAAAACAAAACGCAAGCACATGCAAACAGACGGAATAATTGTGAGAGTTCTGATCTTAAAGTAGCCCGTGTTTGTGTTGTTTACTAATTTGTTAATAAATAAAATGGTTTCAAGGTACTAGAAGCTAAATTTGGTATCAAAAAATGTAGGAAATGTCGTCGAATAACTCTACGGTCAGCCATGTTGTTTGAAGCAGAAACAGACTTAAAGTTGCTTGCTTGGGACTTGTGCTTAGATTGATAACGTTTAAGAACGATGTTGTGCTTAAGTTTTTTCTTGGAACACATAATAACGTGCTTGTGCTTACACTGAAGTCTACTTAAAATCTAAGCACAAGAACGTTCTTAAGAATTTTCTGGGAACACAAAATAAGATAAGTTTACTTAAATGCAAAGTCTACTTAAAATCTAAACGTGCTTAAGAATTTTCTAGGAATCGGGCCCAGGTGCTCAATCGCCAAATTGAGCACACGGTGGCGACACCAAACGATGTCATATATAATAATAGATGGTTGCGAGGTAGAAGTATAAAAATTCTAAATTTGTTTGACGTTCATACTTTTAAAACATGTAAAGCGACAATGAAGTAGACAGTTTTCGTCTTAATAATAGTAAGAAGATGAAACAGAATTAAAATTTACACTAAACAAATAAAGAAGTTGGATTGTACATTGTCTTAATTTAAAAATTACATGAATAGAAGTTGGAAATTACATGAATAGAAGTTAGAAATTAGACGATAGCACGTTTGAATTTTAAATCTAATATACCGCCATACATTGTAGCCTAAATGTATCACGGCTGCTAATTAAGCTGTCTAAATTATTGTCAATATCACGTTTGAATTTTAAATCTACTGTGCCGCCATACATTATAGCCTAAATGTATCACGGCTGCTAAGCTATGTCTAAATTATTGTCACTCATTCTGATGCCCTCATCATATATAAAGCAGTATCACCCAAACAAATAAAACCGACATGGGAAATAATATACTCTTCACAAAAAGTAGGGGATGTTGAAATGCAAATACCTATGCAGGTTGTTTTATGATAAATAGTCATGGACACTTGACATGTTTTGAGAGTATTAGTCCGATCCTTTATGTAATTCCGTCGGCTTTTCGGGGAGAAATCATGGAATAGGCTTTATTTTGAAGGTTTTGATGTTTAATGACAAAAAACAATGTTGACATTTTTTTTTCTGAGTAGGTCTTCATGGTATGGGAGGCCATTATCTGAGGGTAACCATTTTCGATAGTATTCCATCTTATTTTTTTTTTATTTTCACCCTATTTATAATGTTATCGACAAATCAACTGTGATTTGGCACTGTATTAGTATTCACAGGGGTAATGAATATTTCAGATTTTTCCCATCACTTCATGAAGATATTTCTTCCAAGATGGCGGCTATTTTTAGCGCCAAAGTGGGACGATGTGGAGATTTTGTTTAAGAGTAGTGTTTTGTGTCAATATATATGTTTTCGGGCTCGCAGATTCCATTTCTGACATGTTCAGATTTTGATTATGTAGTAAGTGTTTGGTGTCAATAAATACTCTTCAAAAAAATAAAGGGATATTGAAATGCAAATACCTATGCCGGTTGTGATATGATAAATAGTCATGGACACTTGACATGCTTTGAGAGTATGTTCACAGATGAACAACTTATCGCCCCAACAGAACCACTGAGCTGCACATGCGACACACAATAGCACCATACACGTGGGAGGGGTTCATTGTCAAATTTGACACTTCAAGGAAGGGTTGATGAAAACTGCCGCTTGCTGGGTTATCCTATCCATGTTTGCTTTCCTGATCGGTTCTTGCATAAGATTTACTGTTTAGCGTATCTTTGCTTTAGTGTGTTACGTTTAATTTGATCGGGAGACGTGTTCGTCGACGTCAACGTCAACCGACAACACTGCAAGAATTGGCCGTGGCACTGCAAGAGGAGTGGGTCAGATTGCCCCAAATCGTGATTGGACGGTTGATTAGGAGCATGCCACGACGAATTGCTGAATGTCGGAGGATTGGTGGAGCAATTACTCATTATTAAGACAGAAATCAAAAACGTCCATTTTCACTTTTTACGGTGTATCTCTTTGCGAGTGAAATGGGCCATCAGATAGGCCGCTCATAAGAACTGTTTATGTTCATGTGTAGGCAATTGGCCTGTTATTACCACACACTGGTTAACTCTAATAAAAACAGCAGTGCATTTCCGCATTTTTGTATTGTTTCTGAATATCCCCTACTTTTTTTGAAGAGTATATATATGTTTACGGGGGCGCAGAATTCATTTCTGACGTTTACAACTTTGTAAAAAGATCACATGTTCACATATTTAGCTTATTGCCAATATTGCTGCCACTTGGGGTGGAAAATTCGAACGATCTGCTGATTGTCTTTGGCGTCAATATATATGTTTTCGGTGCCGCAGGTTTGATTTCTGCCATATGATTTAAAAAAAGTATTTATTCAGAATTCTTATATACAATCATAGAGGGAATAATATGAATAAGTTGGATACAGTAACAAGCAACTTAATGCTTATATAAAACTGCTTCCAGAATGGAGTGACACGAATATAAATTTAATGATCAGCTGGTAATGTAATACAATGGGAATGATTATCAATATTAGGGTTTTAGTTAACAATGAGATGACAGAGGTATATAAATAAAAAGAAAAATAGTCAAAGGAAAAGAGAGAAAATCGGAAAAGGAACGGGTGCCCGAGTACAGATTTGGATAATAAAGTTGAGGACGCGATGCCAAGAAAAAAAAAAAAAAAAAAAAAAAAACGCACCAACCTACTATAGTTTAATGGTACTGGTATACACATATCTCACATTTGACTGGGTTACAGAGGCTAGGTCAGGGAAGTTTGTATGTACTCAGACAGTGAGTAAACGTTGTTCACAATATAAAATTTGAAGGGTAATTAAAAAGTGGCTCGTAGAGAATGATCGATTAAAATTTTTATTTCGGAGAATTGAAGCGTTTAGTCAAAGTAATATATTTGTGAACGACTGAGAGTAAACAGATATTTCTATTTTTAGAAAGACTGTCATTTCCAAATAAAAGTGAATTAATGTTCTTGTAATGGTAGTCCAATGTATCGATAGTGGATCTGCGTTGTTCTAAGAAGAGGCTACAATGAAAGAAGAAGTGTTCGCTAGATTCGCATTTGTTTCCGCACAGACAGGATGGGTCGTCAGATATATGCATAAGGTATTTATGATAATTTAAGTCGGATTTCGAATTACGTAATTTGGAGAGAATAATCTGGAGAGTCCTGTCGCCAAAGTTGAAGAGATCGTTGTGTTTAGGTTTACCGTATGCTTGTCTAATTTTAAATTTGAATGAAGAGATCGAGTCAGAAGTTTTGATGCTTTCGTCTAGACGATTCCACTCCAGTACTGACGATGGAAAAAACGAATTTTTATAAAGGTTGGATTTATAGATAATACTCATTAGATTGTTGGAGTTTCTGAGTTGATATGGTTGGCTTGACGCTATAGTTGGAGGTACTAAATCCAATAGAAATGACGGTGTTTGTATATTGATAATTTTGAAGAATAAAACCATTTTATGTTCGTAACGTCTTTGTATAAGGCTGGTGAATCCAGATTCAGAATAAAGTAAGTTATGCGAAGTACCGCGAGGAAGGCCTGTAATGGTTCGAATGGCGTCTAAATGTAGAAATTCCAGCTGGTCACTTTTTTCTTTTGTGCAGTTATTCCACACGCAATCAGCGTAGTCGAAAAGTGGTAGGATAAAAGATTTGAAGATGATTTCAAGGGTTTTACGTTTAAGTCGATATTTTAATGAACGGAAGGAGTTAGTGGTTTTACTAATTTTAGTTATCATATGGTTAATGTGGGTATCCCAAGTACAGAAGTTATTGAAATATACGCCAAGGTGTTTATGGGTGTTAACATCAGTAAGAAGGACATTGTTGAAATTTAAGTTGAGAGAGGTGGGGGAAAGTTTTCTAGAGAAGGTAAGGCTGGTAGTTTTGGAAGGATTGAAAGTTACTTTCCATTTTAATGACCATTTGAAAATCGTTTCGAGGTCCGCGTTTAATTTATTTTGAGTAGAGATTTGGTTATCAATTATTACGAATAAAGAGGTGTCGTCAGCAAACAGGCGTATATTAGATGAAATATTATTTGTTAAATCATTTATATATAGGAGAAATAAAAGTGGACCAATTATCGAGCCTTGCGGAACACCGGCAGAAACATTTCTTGAGAATGATTTTTGACCATTAAGGACGACACATTGTTCGCGATCTTGTAGATAACTGGTAATTAATTTGTGAGTGTCATGGCGGATACCATAGTTATTTAGTTTGTGTAATAAGCCACGATGCCAAACTCTATCAAAAGCTTTACTAATATCGAAGAAGACAGATTTTACTTCGTGTCCCTCATCGAGAGCCTTACAAATATAGTTGTACATTTCCAGAAGTTGGTAAGTAGCAGAATTTTTAGCCAGAAATCCTGATTGATGGGGGGTAATGATCTTTTGACGGATGATGAAATTATAAATATGATTATAAATGATTCTTTCAAAGACTTTACCTAGAGAACTAAGGAGAGAAATTGGTCTGTAGTTTGTGCAGTCGTGGGCACATCCTTTCTTAAAGATGGGAACAACATTGGCAAATTTCCAGCAATCTGGAAAGATGCAACGATCAACTAGTATGGTAAAGAGGCGGCTGAGTGGAGTTGCTAGGGATTTATGGAGTAATTTTAAAACAAAGTTGTTTACATTGTCATGACCACATGATTTTTTAGGAGTTAAAGAGAAGAGAATATCTTCGACTAGTTGGGGGGTTATTTTAAGGGGAGGAATTTCTATGTTAGAGAAAGGTAAGTCGGGAAGGTTGTCTTGGTCGGTGTCTAGAGTTTCCTGTGAGACAAAAAAATCATTAAGGGCGTTAGCTTTGTCACTGTTTTCAAAGAATAATTTATCATTATATTTAAGAGGTGGAATTTCCGGGCCTGAGCAGCCTTTCTTTAGAGAGATTTGTTTAACCAAAGACCACCATCGAGATTCACTAAAGTCGTTATTATTAA